ACTGTGGTCAAGCTTGGTAACTGCCATTTTGTAGCATTCACTTTCATTTGCTTACCCATTACTGTTTAATTGCTGAATTCATTATCAATCTATCTCTCTATCTATTTCCTTATATATTATTTTTTATATATTTATATATTTTTGTTATTTATTTATATATTATTTGTATATATGTATCTCTGTGTGTGTGTGTGTGTGTGTATGTGTTTTCCCCTTGGTTCTGCTTACTCCCATTTGCCTAAGTTCACATAAGTCTTGCAATGCTCTCACATTCAGCATTTTACATAGCATGCTCAATTTATACTATATTGAATCACTATAACCTTTAGCAATTCTCCAATCATTAGGTATTGACTGCACTTTCTGTTCTTTGTTACTAGTACAAAAACACTTTTACAAACATTTTAATGTACATGTGTCTCCTAGTTCTGCAACTGACCTTTTGTGGTTGTACACCTAGCAGTAAAATCTCTGAGTCAAAGGATATACAATTGATACACACTTTATCAGAATAATTACAGATTATATTCTATTATACTTGAACCAATTCATGTGCTTATCTTTCCACAAACTTTCCAATGCTATTTTCATGTTTTCTTATCTTTGCCAATTTCTGGACATGAGATGAAACCGCAAAATTATCTTGACTGATATTCTTATTATCAGTGATTTCAAGCAAAGTTTAATATGGTTATTTTTTTTTTCAGTTCTGCATTTGAAAACCATTTCTACCCTTTAATTATTTATCTATTGGAGAATATTGCTTGGCATTACATATTCCTGATACTTGCCAAGACATTGTGGATATCACACTTTTATCAGAAATATTGGATTCAATTATTTTTCCCTCACTTTGTCTTTTCTCTTCTTTTACTACTTGTATTAATTTTAAACAAAATCTTTTGAATTTTATGTAATCAATATGTTATGTCCTTAATAATAATTGATATCACTTATTTGGTTAAGAATTCACATATTAGCAAAGCTATGAAGGACAATTGATTTGTTTTTTCTCTGACATCATTATTGTCCCTAATTATTGAACTCTCTGTTTAGGTGTTTTTTGTTTTAATTCTTGTTTTAATTATTATTTTGTGTTATGGTCTATAGAGGAGGTATTTCTTTTCTCTGTTTCTAAAATTTCACTAAAATTTCTCTGGGCCGTAATATATGTTTTATTTTTGTAAAGGTGCCATGTGATTCTGAGATATATTACTATTATAATTTCTGTTCAGAAGTTGGCATAAATATTTTGTCCCTAAATTCTCCAGTAATTTGTTCAGTTTTACATTTCACCCTTCAACTTTCTGTTAGACTTTTCTACCTCTGAGGGAGGAACTGCTACTACTGTTATGTTTTTCCCTATATCTTTTTACAATTCAATTAACTTTCCCTTTATAAATTTAGGCCATTTGCTATTTCACACATATGTTTAATATTGGTATAAATTCATTTTGTACCATTCCTTTAGCACATTTCATTGATATCACAAATCTTTATTTTTGTTTTTTTTTTCTGATAGCAAGATCACAATTGTATTTTTGATGCACTTAAAGCACAATAATTTTTCTCACTTCTCATTTTCATTCTGCATGTTTGTTTTTAGATATATTTCTTATAAATAATAGATAATAGTTTTATTTTCCTATCCATTTCCCACTCTGATTTTATTATTTTTTCATTCACAATAAATGTTATATGAATATTTTGATATTTGTTTCTTCAATGACTTTTTTAAAAAAAATTGATTATTTCTTTCCTCTTTTAAATCAACATTTTGTCTACATTATCTACATTGGTTCAATTTTGCAAAGCATGTCATATTGGGTTGCATCTTGACCTCATTTACATTTTGGAATATAGTAATAGTAATCAAATCCCTCCAATTTTGTTTTTGTTGTTGGTGGTGGTGGTGTTAACTAGGAGATAATCTCTGATAGGTAAATTTCCTTTCTTTCGTTTTTGAAATTCCATTTCCTGGATGCTTGAAGAATTTGTTGTTTTTTGCTACTGTTGTTGTTTAGTCCTGTCTGACTCTATGTGACTCCAAAGTATTTTTGGCAAAGATACTGGAGTGGTTTGCCATTTCCTTCTCTGGTGTGTCCTCATTTTGCAGACGAGGAACTAAAGCAAACATGGGTCAAAGGACTCACCCACCATATCTGAGACTGCATTTGAAATCAAACCTTCCTGACTCCAGGCCTGGTGCTCTATACATTGCACCACTTAGTTGCTCCAAAAATATATTGCAGAAAACTTAATCTTTGCATTAGGGTGAAGGTAACTATATTGTTTTCCAGGGAACAAAATATTCCTTTTAGCTATTGTGTTTTAGAATTTATTAAATATAACTATTATGTGTCTTGGAGTTTCATGTGAAGAACGATTTGTGAATATGCTTAATTGGTGCTTTGTTTTCTATTTTCAAAAAATTATGGGCAGAGTTTATTTATTTTTACTACTTACTGTGTTATGATCAGATTTTTTCCCCCTAATCTGTCATCTTCTTCTAAGAGACCTGTAATATTTAAGTTGTCTAGTCAATCCTTTTCATCCAGTTTTTGTGTTCTTTTTTCTTTTTCCTTTTCTTCTACTAGATTTTCTGTATTTTTCACATTTTTATGTTCCAAATCTGCTAATCTTTCTTTTAAGTAAAAAAAAAAAAACTCTCCAATGTGGATTTTTAAAAATTATACATTTAGACCTCTAAGTTCCAACATGTTCATTCTAATTTATTTTATGGATTTCAGTTCTTTTGCACTATTGTGTAGTTTCTTTTTGTTCTTTTTTTATTATTATTATTTCACAGGACTCTCTATTTCCTCAGGTACTGGTTCCATTTCTTTTGCTTTTTTTTTTTGAGAGCTATGTTTTTTCTTTAAAGAGTTACTCAAAGAAACAGAATTATTCTTTTTGTTTTGGGATCTTTTCTATTGACAAATTTTCTAGTGTTCCTGCCTTGTTTATAGATGTTTCCTATTGAAATCTCTGGTGTTTTAAACTTTCAAAAAATTGCTTCATTACTCACTTTCTGGTGTTTGTAATTCCGGTGCTGAGTTACTGGACTTTCATAACCTCCTTAATCTGAGTATTATAGGGTTTTCCATCCTGTCTCTATCCCATGTAGCCTGAGGGGGATAAGCAGGACTGACCCCAAACTGATTTCAGTTCCTTTTCCTTTAGGCCAAACATAATCATGTACATTGGCCTCCATTTCTTCCCTGGTTGGGAAGAATCTGAGTCTGATTTTTTTGGTGGAGTGAGGGGAAGCATGGAGGGATATTCAAGAAAGAATCTTTGCAGCTTTGGGATTCCAAAAATTAGATCCCCTGTCAGAAGGCAGATGCTTTTTAGCCTTTTTACCTTTACTTTTCAGTTACATATGACTTGGCAAGGGTGGAAAAAAGAGATTCTCTCAGATTTTCTCTTATATCAGTGAAGGAGAGAATCTTAAGATAGATCCAAGGTATGCCAACTTTATTATATAATTAAAAGGAATAGCAAATTGTACATAATAGATTTGCAGTTTCATGTGCAATCATCTTTTTTTGTTATACTGTGTTATGGAAATGCTTGTTTTATTCCATAAATTAGAAATATATATTTTTAAAAAGATAGATCCAAAGTACACAATGAGAGAGGTCAGTTGTATCCTTGCAGGGGATGTTAAGGGGGACGTCCACATGGAAATTTTAAGAATTAGTGTTTACCAGTGTTAAATCAGAAGGTTTTTATCTTTTCAGAGTTATCTCTTTGTTCTCTGGATTCAGCAGTAATTCTTCTAAAACTGGTGTATAATTATTTTTGTTTGTTCTCCTTTTTTTAGGGTTAGAAAGATAAAGGGGTTATAGAAAAAGTGATTTGCCATAATGCTGGTCACATGACCCACTATTCTCTATGAAGAACTTTAAATGATTACAAGAGGAATTTTACTTGATACTATAGGTAATAGGGAGCCGCTGGCATTTGATAGGCGATTAGCACTGTCAGAATTTACGATGTTAGAAAAGAACTTTGGCATTTATGCTAATGTTGAATTGGTACAGGGACAGACTTGAGGTAGGGAGTCCAGTTAGAAGTCTATTGCAGCAGTCCAGGTTAGAGCAGATGGGAACTAAACTTAGTCTTCTAAGACAGCAGATATGTCTGCAGAAAAGGAAATTATTGATTTGTTACTGGAAGTGCCAAATGTATAAATTTATGATCTGTGTACACAAAGAATGAGAATTGGATATTGAAGTGGCTTTAGTGTCAGGAAGACCTAGGTTCAAATGCCGCTTCTGACACATACAGTAGCTGTGTGACTTACTTAAGCCCTTACTGCCTCAGTCAGCTCTCTAAAACCAGGGTATAGAGTAGATGCCTATCTGCATTAATATAGAAATTAGCATATCAAGGAATTCCATATAATTAAGAAGCACAAATCCAATCCAAAAGTTGAAATAAATGTCCGAAAAGTTACTTTCAGACGTCAAAGTAATGGTAGTCACTACCACCATTATTTGTACTTAGATTGGAAAGGGGGATAAATGGGTTTATTAGTAAAATAGCAGGAAAGAGGTGTTATTACTATGAAATACATTTGCAAGTGGCCTAAGTGAGCAAAATTTTATATTCTTGTAACCATGATCTGGACTGGTTTCTTTTTAACTCTAAGGACCTTGAAAATAGCAGCTGAATTTTATCTGATTTATGTGAACTCCCAGGTTAGCCAATATGCAATGATAAGCCAAGCAAGATTTCAGTAAACGTCAAGTGATAACAATGGTGGTGCTGTGAGCAAGAAGCCTGTTGTTCAGCTGGCACCTGCACTGGCAAACTTTGTATTCCCTCATACATATCATTCTCTGTTGTAGTGCTGAAGGAAGAACAAGGAAGGAAACCTTCATGTAGAAGGGACAGATGAAGATGGAAGCTAAACCCCTTCAAAGTGTTGGAGTCAAATGCAAAAGGCTTTGGGAACCCCAATTCTAACATCATTATTTTCATTCATTTTTCAGGTTCAGGTTCTTCGGAATGCAGGTGAAGAAGTGACCCTAACTGTGTCATTCCTAAAAAGAGCACCTGCTTTCCTCAAACTGCTGCTGAATGAAGATTGTGCATGTAAGCATTTACAATAAATGGGAAAAAAATGCCTACATCATTCAGTCTATCATTTTCAAACATCTCTTCTGACAGTGATTGGCATCTTCCTTTCTAAGTCAGGATTGTGGTCTGCATGTGAACATTTTATATCACCAGGTGCTACACTAACATTTTGGGAAGGTAATAGATGCTATCTTTGCCACAGGAAGAATTCAGAGTATTTAAAGACATTTCCCCATACCAAGGTTTGATAGGGGGAAAAAAGTGCAAATCATAGCTCACACATCCACTTTGTATCTCCATTTAAATTCCAATGAGGAAACTTTGTTAATAGATCTCTTAGAGCTAAAGATTCCTATATTCTAATTTGATTAGAAAATGTATTAATGAAAAAAACTTTCAGTTTATTTGCCCTTCATTAGTAGGGATATGGAAGGATGCAGTTGACACTGTAATTATAATCAATTATATAATATGTTTCTGGAATTAGTTTTATCTGCCTCATTTCATCCTTTCCTAAATTGTTAAATAAAAATAGAACCCAAATTTTCCTTCTTTAAATGACCCATGACTTCACTAGTGACTGTCCAACCTTTCACCTCCACACCACCCATGATGATCAAAGTTCCTCCAAATCACATAAGCTTCTGTGTACTTACCAAAAAATCATGATCTGGCTCTCGTCTTCTTAGTGATGATCTAAGTCAAGGATAGTTCTTGGACAATAGAAACAGAGTTAATTCAGAGAAATGCAGAATTTGAGAGTGGAAAAAGAATTCAGTGGCCTTTGAGTTCCACATTATATGTGTGTGTGTTTCTACATACACACACACACACACACACACATACACACAGATATGTATGCATGTATATGTGGAATCTCTACTGTAATGCACCAAAAAAGTGGTTGCCCAGGCTCATTTCCCAAAAATGGGAAACACACCACCTTTTGAGGCAGCCTACTCCATTTTTGGAGAATGTTGGTTGCTAGGAAGTTTGTGTTTCTTTGTTTGTTTTCCCTGATATCAAATCCAAACTTTTACTTTTGTACTTTTCAACCATTGCTCCTCTTTCAACTGTTTGGTGGTGAATAGAAAAAGCCTAACCATTCCTCTATTTGGCAGCCTTTCAAATACTTGAAGACAATTTTCATTTGCTTCCTGAATCTTCTCTGGCCTAAGGATGGCTGTTTCCTTCAATCAATCCTCATATGTTATGGCCTCCCATTTACCAGCCCTGTTGCCCTCCTCTGGACACTCTCCAGCTTCTCAATGTTCTCTTTAACCATGGTGTCCAGAACTGAGCACAATAATCCAGATTGGGGCCAAAGGGAGCAAAGTGCAGTGGGATAATCACCTACTCTTCCTGGAAGCTGTTACTTTCCCTAATGCAGCCCAAGATGGAATTAGCTTTGCTGGCAGTACATCACACTGCTGACTCATACTGAACTTGATTAACAGATCTCATTCCCAAAGCCTTTCTAATTTGCTAGGTCCTGCTAGATTTTGGATTCCCCTGGCATTGCCTTCAGGGTCAGTTCTATACCATCAGGAATTAGAAGAGAACTTTACTACAGGAATCCCATTTTTTAAATGAAAAGTACATATGAGTTAACATCATTTATCAAATTGAATCAAATCAGAGTAGAACTGTACATTGTTAATTACATAAACCTTGTAAGACATTTTTCAAAAAAGAAAAAGAAAAGGGATTTGGGCAGGTGGAGTACTCATAGAGTTCTTTCCAAACCTCTTCCAATGCTTTTCTTTTATAGAAGGCAGAAATTACACTTTTTGGCTCATTTCCATCTGTGTCTGCTGCTCTACCTGTGTTGTTTCCCCCCATTAGATAGTAAACTCCTTGAGGGCAGCAGCTGTCTTGCACTTAATAAATTGGATAATGGAATTTAACTGGATTATTACTGGATTAGAGTATCTACATAAGTGAGACTTAGGTTTGAACTTTACCCAATAAAAGCCAAAGCAACTGGAGCAAGGTTTGGAAACCTAGACTGATAATAGCTAGCATTTATATAGCACTCTAAATTTTGGAAAGCACTTTAAATGTGATAACTCATTGGGTCCTCAGAACAACCCTGTGAGATAGCAACCATTATTATCCCCATTTTATAGTGAGGAAATAGGATGAAAGAGTTTAATTGACTTGCCCAGGATCACACAGCTAGTAAGCATCTGAGGTAGAATTTGAACACTCAGGGCCTTATGACTACAAGTCCAGCATTCCATTCACTGTTCCTTTTGGTCACAAAGAATCTTTTCACAAAGATTCACAAAGAATTATCACAGGAGCTATCCAGGAGACTAAGGAAAGGTAATCTACAAAAGCCAGCTGCTTACTACATTAACTTTATGAAGACTGCTATGCTCTGATACCCAGGGAACAAAACCTCTAAGGATGCCTGCCCTTCATCCACTCACATTAATTCCAACGTTGTAAACAGGGTACCTATTATTATCTTTAATGGAGAAAGAATCTGAATTTTTAAAATTGCAATTATTTTCAGTGATCTAAATATATTAGAAAAATTAAGTCTGCTTCCAGAGCCTTTAAAAAACAACAACAACAACAACAGCAACAACCACAAGTATTGCTATAGATTGCATGAGGAATTTTTTGCATGACATCATTCCTCTTCTCCCAGCCCCTCACCTCACATCCCAGCCCAAACTGGTCATAGAATTTCATTTTGGATATTTTCCATAGTCTATCACAAAGTGTGACTATAGCTACCAAGCTGGCATCTCAATTATAGCTTTTTTAATTGGCTATAAAATACATCTGTAAAGCAGAGGTTCTTAACCTGGGGTCCACGAACCTGTTTTACAAATATAGGTGGATAGAAAGAGAGAGAAACTGCATTTTAACATTATTGATTTCCTTTGTAATTCTATGTATTTTATGTCTTTAAAAACAGGGTACTGAGGAATCCATCACATACACACACACACACACACACACACACACACACACACACACATACACGCACAAGTTAACAGCTGCTACTTTGAAATGATAGGATAGTCTAAATATATTTTAATGCATAGAAATTAAGACTTCCATATTAATTCATTTGCTGGCATGGGTTTATATGAAAAGTCTTCCCTGAAATAGCACATTGCAGGGTGAAAATTATTTGAAAGGAGCTCTTGCGTAGTAAAATTAGTATAGGAATATACAATAAAATTACTATTAAAGGATCACATCTGTTAGGAAAAAAATAAAATCTATTCCTTTTTAAGCAATACAAACAATTTTCAATATTATGCTTTGATTTCAATGAAGTAATTAATTTATTTCTTCATTGCCAAAAGTCAACAAGCATTTATTTTCTACCATGTGCCAGGTTGTACACTAAGTTGAGGAACTCACAGTCTAATGGGGGTGGAAGCAACTATGTACAAATGATTAATATAGGATCAGTAGGAGATAATCCCAGAGAAAAGGCACTGGCATGGGGTGGGGGTAGGGGGTAGGAGTGGAGGAAATGCTTCTTGCAAATGGTGAGATTTTAGCTGACTTGAAGGAAACCTGAGATCATGAACCATATTTTTAAAAGTATATTTAGGTGTGCCAATGAGAACTATGAAATTATGTATACACACACACACATACATTACATATATATCATTTAGATTTCAATTATAGAGATTTTTTTTTTTTAGGTGCTCCAAGTGACCAGAGCAGTGGCACATCTTCTCCCCTTTGTGACAGCGGTTTGCATCTCAACTACCATCCTACCAACACGGTAAGAGGCCTAGTGCATGAATAAAACATAAGAGGAAAGAATAAAAGAACAACTAAAGAAGAATTCAATTTAATCGATAGCTAAGAACTTTCACTAATTCTGAGTCATTGAGATTTAAGTCCTTGGTTGCTTCTTTCTTTATGTATTTGCAGCTCAACAAGATGAAAGGAAAAGTAAATAGGCCAGCATTGCTTTACCTTTGCTCTTGACAAGTCAGCATCTCACCAGGTTTTCTAATATTGGGCACCTAAAGAATACACCTGAATTTCTGAACCAAAAGTATAATGTTTACTAGGCTTATTTTTAGTAACTACACGAACCAACAAATTTTAGCACTGATGAAATACTTTGAAATTAGGGAGCTAAGATTTTTATTTATCCATTAATGTATAGTGTGAAATCCTAGTGGCACATTTGTGATGTGCCATGATTTTGTGACAGAAATACGGGCAGTGAGCTGACCTTGAATAAATTTGTTATTGCATTAATATGAGGACTTCTCAGATAAGGAAACTCCCTCCGTTAATGTAGGTCAGCAACTTCTCTGAAACTGATGGTCTAAGACAGTTGGTAAGGGCACTGAGAGGTTGAGTGACTTGCCCGGTGTTACAAAGCCAACAGGTCAGACTTGAACCAAGGCCTTTCCTGCTCTTTGCTCTGGCTTTCTAGCCATTAGAACACACTGGCTCTCTAAGGTTCACATCTAACATCATTCTTTGGATTTCAAAATACTCACTTTCATTATAAGATGTTCATGAGTAGCTCTGATCATTTACACAGTTTGGTCACTGGATGTCATTCATTCTCTAATTACTGTAGATACTAGCTCTTTTATTTTGATTCAATTCAAATTAATAAATAACTTTGAAGTGCTTATTATAGGGAAAATATTCCTATGTACTCTGGGTGCACAGCTGAAAAACAGAGCTGCTTGAGTAGAATCTTTTAATTTGACAATATACCTAATAGTGTGGTTTTTTTTAATAATTTTTTTTCATTTGGTTAGGCAATGGGGTTGAGTGACTTGCCCAGGGTCACACAGCTAGTAAGTGTTGTGTATCTGAGCCCGGGTTTCAACTCAGGTCCTCTTCAATCTAGGGCCGGTGTTCTATCCACAATGCCACCTAGCTGCCCACCAATAACATTTTAACCCATTATTGATCCACTTCTAATGTGTGAGGATTAAATTAAATTCGGTTCAACAAATATTCATTAAGTGATATTTGTGGGCACAGATTGGAGAACTCAGAAATAATTCTGAGAAAATACTAAATTATTATTACACGTAACATAAAAACTGACATAGTAGTTCACATTTATATGAATGAAAAAAGAACGTTTATTAGGCACTTACTCTTTGCAAAGAAGAATCATGTCAAGCACTGGAGATACAAAAAGAAAAGCAAGGCAGTCTCTACTCTCAGGGGTTCACATTCAAATAAGAGAAGAAAATATTTACATGAGGTTGCAGCTATAATGTAGTGAAGAGTGATTCCCTTTCAAAGTGGAATCATTAACTTGGACATTGGATTCCTCTGCCAGTAGACTGGATCACTATTAGACTGTTTCATTAATGAAATTCCTCCAACTATTTAAACACAGTAGAAGTATAGTTAGCTTGATTAGTTATCCAATGATCTGTTCTCTTCTTGGTCTTATAAAAGAAGTTTATATCCCTGAGATCACAGAATACAGACCATCTTGTTTGTGTACTTGAGACTTCATTTTGCCATTATCCTTACTACATTGATCAGCATGGGGCTAGAAACCCCAGTCCCTTAATTTATACTGTGTGCTTTTGTGTATAGACATATGAGACCATGGGTTTTACTACTGGTTCTTGGCTTGGATCATTAACTATGAACTTCTAGGTATCTCTTTTGATAGTCTTTTTACTATAGAGTACTTATTATGTATAATATATAGCCTGGCAAATATATGTGGACAATTTGCTGCTGGACAAATATATTCTTATCATCTTTTCTTGGCTGCAGTATCCCAGCTGATAGCTTAGCTCCTCTGAGACTAATTCTAATGTAGGGGTTCTTAACTTGGGGTCTATGAACTTGTTTTCAAAAGTATTTTTGTAACTGTGTCAATACAATTGTTTTCCTTTTTAATCCGGTGTATTTTACTTCATGCTTTTGAAAGTATTCTGGGAATGGGTCCATAAGCTTCACCAGACTTCCAAAGGGATTCATGACACAAAAATAATTCACAAGCCCTACTCTAATGAGACCAATATTGCTTCTGTGCCATCTCTTTTTGGTCCTATGCTTGCCTTCTGCCTATGGAAATGACACTGAATGAATAATTCTCTCCCTACTAGAGGACATCACTTTCTAGGCATATCTGATTTTCCTATTCCTCTTTAGAGAAAGATTTTCCACAAAAGAGGCCCTACTTAAGAATTCCATCAGAGGTTGTCAGGGACTGAGTAGCTTAAAGCTTAAGAGAATTATTTTAATGAAAACCAACCAAATATAATCATTATCACAGACTTGTAACACAATAATCTAATGATATTAATAAAGCTGTTACAAAATATTCATATAATTGTATCTCAGAACATGTTTTTTAACCTAATTTCTTACAAATTTGTGCCCAATTCCAAATAACTAAATAAGAATCATAGTTTTGCTTCAATCTTTTTATGACACTGAACCATATCTATCCTGAACTGGAAACAGTCTGAAAACAAGGAGATTCTCCTATAATTGAAAAGAAATATTTGAAAAAAAAACATTCTGAGTTACCTAGTTGAAATTTCTGCAATAATCTTTGAACAATTTTTATTTTAGAATTTGAGCCTGAAAACTATTCCAGCAAATATCATTAGTCATTAATTAAGTTATATTAGTAAATCCCTAGTGAGTGAAGTTTTACTAAAAATGCAAATTCCGTAAGGAAATTATCTCTAACTATAGTTGTCATCATATGGAAGATAATGATTGGACTGGCATAACAATTTGGACAGTTAGCCTAAGCTGTTTTTAAGAGCAGATCAATGTATCTTGAGGATTATTAAATGTTATTTCTGAAACAACTGATGCCATATCCTCTACATAGCACAGCAGGAGGTACTAGTATGTCTGGAGCTTTAGACATCTCTTTAGATTTTATGTGAAGCCCCGCCATTAGCCAATTATGTGACCTTGAACATATATCATTTAGTCTCTCTTAACTTCAGGTCTCTACTCTGTGAAATGAGGTAATTGGATCAGGTGGTAGTATCTTAGATTTTAATCTGCAAGTAATCATTGAAGTTATTTGATCCACCCCCTTCAATTTACAGATAAAGAAGATCTGGAATGCCTATTCTAGCCTTACGGTTCTATCTATGATTCTAAATATTTGCTCTTGGTTTATACTTTTCTGATATAACAATGAAAGTATATTCATTTTAGAGGAATTGTTATGGCTGGAAAGCTGAATACTTACCTCTAGATCTATGTATCCTCAGACTCATCAAAATCCATTTAATATGAGTAGAGCTTTGCAGAGGATTTTCCCACTTTCATTTTATTGTCAGGGACATCCTGAATTGTTGCATGTTTAGTACAGAAAATTAGTATATAGAAACCTTAACTCTATTTGTATATGCCATTAAACAGAAGGACTTGTTTCTTATTAAATTATAAACAGATCTAAATGAGAAGGTGGTGTGTTAACACAATATTTTGAATTGTATCTTAAAGTGTTAGATTTTTTGAAATTCCATAAATCTGAATTACAAATTCTTTTCACAAGTGAGAGCATAATACTGAACTGTCATTTGGAGCTAGAAAATGTACAGATAAATATTCAGCTATTTAGTCAGTGCAATCCCTCTGAAGATTATAGTTTTCATTTTCATATCCCAAACTCTATCTATTCTCTCATCTCTCTCAGAATCCAGTTTTACATATACAGAAGAAAATGTATCAATCATCTCATAGTTAATATTAAGAAATCTTCAATAGAGGGAAATAATAGAGAACTACTTGCCAATTGCAATATTCCTTGTGTTATACTATAGCAAAATGAATTATCACAACCATTGTATTTGAATAAATGGTGAAAGATAATTCACTTTTGTTGTTTTTGTTTAATTGCTTTCAATTTTGTCAGGCTTTTGGTTATGCCATTTGGGGGTTTCTTGGCAAAGATAATGACATTTTGCCATTTCCTTCTCCAGTGTGCCCCTATTTTGCAGTTGAGGAACTGAGGCAAATAGGGATTAAGTGACTTACCCAAAGTCACGCACCTAGTAAGTATCCGAGGCCAGTTTTGGACTTAGATCTTCCTGTCTCCAAACCTAGGGCTCTATCCACTGCACCACCTAGCTGCCCCACTTCCATACCTCTTCACTCCCTAAATAATAAAAACTTGAGAATGGGGACTTTTTGTTGTATTCTTTTGTATTTGTATTTGTATTTTGTATTTGTATTCCCAACATGAGCTAGATGCCTGCTGCCTAGAAGCATTATAAAGGGCTTCTTGAATTACTCTTTTTTAATGGCCTAGCATGTAGCTGAAGTGGATAGTTGCCTTTTTGGTGTGCTTTGTGGAACACTAGCAAAAGCCTCTGCTGCCAAAATTTATCTCCCTAGCTGCTGTAAAAATTCAACTTTATAACCAGAGACTTATCCTGTTGGCATTGAGACCCCAGCAGATCCTCATAAAAATGCAAATAACTGTAGAAAGCTAATAATTACATTGACTAACCACAAACACTTTTGTGAAAAATATATAGTCAGATGACTAGTTGTCACCTTAGAACACATAGCTCCAAGTGACTGGAACATGTATATATATATATATATATATATATATGTGTGTGTGTGTGTGTGTGTGTGTGTGTGTGTGTGTGCGTGTGTGTATTTTTTTTTGTGGGAGTGAGGGGGAAGGCATATTGAAGTTCATTTACTCTAGGCAGGACACTTCCTAGTTGGTGTTAGTTTCTAGGAAGCTTTGGGATAGCTTAATGCGGTTTGCTAACTCGTGATTGAGAACCTGGC